AAAAAAAAAAAAAAAATTTTTGTTTTGTTGATCTTTTGTATTGATTTTTGGGGTTCAATTTCGTTAAGTTCTGCTCTGATCTTAATGATTTCTTTCCGTCTCCTAACTTTAGGTTTGGATTGTTCTTGTTTTTGTAGATCTGTAAGGTGAAGTGTTAGGTTGTTCACTTGCCATCTTTCCATTCCTCTGAGGTGAGCATTTAATGCAATAAATTTCCCCCTTAATACTGCTTTTGCAGTATCCCACAGGTTTTGGTGTGATGTATCATTATTTTCAATAAACTTTTTGATATCCTGCTTGATTTCTTCTTGACAGTTTTTGTTTGTCTGAGAAATATACTATTTGCCCTTCATTTCGGAAGGATAGCCTTGTAGTGTAGAGTACTCTTGGCTGACAATCTCTGTTTTTTTAGTATTTTGAATATATCATCCCATTCCTTTCTGGCTTTTAGGGTTTGTGATGAAAGTCTGATGTTAGCCTGATTGGGGCTCCCTTATAGGTGATTTGACGCTTCTATTTTGCAGCTTTTAAGATTCTCTCTTTGTCTTTGAGTTTTGCCAATTTGACTACAATATGTCTTGGAGAAGACCTTTTTGTGAGGTTGTCTGATATCTCTCTCAGATTTTCTTCAATGCCTTTGATTCTTTTTTCTTTTTTTTGTCTGCTTGTGTTATTTCAAACAGCCCATCTTCAAGTTCAGAGGTTCTCTCTTCAACTTCCACAAGCCTGCTGGTGAAACTCTCTGTTGTGTTTTTTATTTCACTGAATAACTTCTTAAGTTCAGCAAGTTCTGCTACATTTTTTTTCAGGGCATTGATTTCCTTGTACATTTCCTCTTTGAGGTCCTGTATATTTTTCTTCATTTCATCATGATGTCTAGCTGAGTTTTCTTGTATCTCATTGAGTTTCCTTAGAATTATCACTCAAAATTCCTTGTCAGTCATTTCCAGGGCTTCTTGTTCTGTAGGATCTGGAGCTTGAGAGTTATTACCCTTTGGTGGTGTACTTTCTTGATATTTCGTATTTCTGGTATCTTCTCTTTGATGTTTATTCATTGTGGCAGGGGGTTTCACAGTCCACAGGTTTGACACTATTTTCTGACTAAGATGTTGCTGTGGTTGCCAATTTGGTATGGCTACCTCAGTGACTGCTCAGTTGGCCACTAGTGCCTTGCGTGTGTGGTTGCCTCTGGTTTTGGGCCTCTCTGGGGAGCCACCTCTCTGGTCAGCTTGGACTCGGCCGGGCTGCTTGGTCACGGGACGGTACTGCAGGGTGTGTGGTCTCTGCTGAGCTTCCACTTCCTGTGCTGGACTTCTCCCTGTTCCGTGTGCTCTGGGCCGGGTTGCTGGGATGCGCAGAGGCACCGCAGAGTGTGTGGTCTCTGTGGAGCTTCCCCTTCCCCTGCTGGATGTTTCCCTGCTCTGTGCGCGCTAGGCCGGGCTTGGGATGGAGGCGGGTGGTGGCAGTGAAGCCTACCTGCTGCTGGATCGCATGGCGGCGGCCCCCCCACAGGGTGTGTGGTCTCTACGGAGCTTCTGCCTCCCCTGCTGGACATCTCTGTGCTCTGTACGCTTTGGGCCAGGCTGCTAGATCGTGCTGCGGTGTGGTCTCCATGGAGTTCCCACCTCCCCTGCCAGACATCTCCCTGCTCCGTGTGCACTAGGCTGGGCTGGGAATGGAGCCAGGTGCCTGTGGTGAAGCCTACCTGCTGGATCACACAGTGGCGGCCCCACAGGGTGTGTGGTTTCTGTGGAGCCTCCGCTTCCCCTGCTGGTCATCTCCCCACTCTGTGCGCACTGGGTTGGGCTGGGAATGGAGCCGGTGGCGACGGTGAAGCCTATCTGCTGGATCATGCGACGGTGGCCCCACAGGCCATCTGGTCTCCGTGGACCTTCTGCCTCCCCCGCTGGATGTCTCCCTGTTCCATATGCACTTGATGTTATGTTTTTATAGTTTAAATCGGTTGATTTGTGGGAGAGAGTGACGCTAGGGACCATCTATTCCAGCATCTTGACCGGAAGTCCCTGCGTCCTTTGTCATTGGTTTACTGGGCAATGGGCTGGCGCTGCAGATGACTATCTTCCGTATGGCCCACACTGTTACCACCACCTGGTTCTTCAACTTAGCCCTTGCTGACTTCACTGTCTTGCTGTCCCTGCCTATCTCCATATACAACACAGCCTCCCAGCAGTGGCTCCTTAACGAGTTGGCCTGCAAACTCTACATGGCTTTTGTAGCCATTGCCTTCTTACCAGCATCAACCTTTTTAGTCCTCATCTCTGTGGACCATTGCATCATCATCCTCTACCCCGTCTGGGCCTGAAACCACCGCACTGTGCAGAGAGCATGCTGGCTGGCCGTTGGTGTGTGGCTCCTGGCTGCTGTCATGTGCTCGCCATACCTGAAATTTCGAACACTGGAAAATTGAATGGATGTGACTATTGCTACTTCGATTTCAACTTAGAGAATGAGACTGCCCAGAATTGGAGTTGAGCAGCTTTGAAGAGACAAATGATAGTAACACTCACTCACTTCCTGCTAGGCTTTGTGGGGCCCTTGGCAATCATTGGCACTTGTGCCCACCTCATCTGGGCCAAGCTGTGGTGAGAGGGTTGGGTCCATGCCAGCCAGCCAAAGAGGTTGCTATTGGTGTTGGTGAGTGCTCACATCATCTTCTAGTTCCCATTTAACATGGCATTCTTGGTCCAACTGGGGCAATCTATGGTGTGAAAGGAATCCTACAACCCCAGAGTGCTGCTTACCCTCTGGGCTACCTTCTCCTTGGGCTGCCTCAACCCCTTCCTCTACATCTTCATTGCAGAGATTTCCGAGAAAACATTTTTCAGTCCTTGCCTTCTGCCCCAGCCAGGGCATTCAGTGAGGAGGGGTTTCTCAGTCTTCCTGTCCCTGAGATTAAGGCCCTGGAGGATGATGGAAACCTTCAGGTGGAAGCTGGAAGTCTTCCGTCTTAGTTTGTGGACCCTTACCTAGGCTGGCTTCCAAGACCCTGCTAAATCCTGCCTTTTCTTTCAGGGAGTCTTCCTGGAAACTCCTCATCTAAAGCTCTACGGTAGAGACATCTAGTTATTCCAGAGAGTCCATTCTCCCCTTCCTTTATAGTAAGACTCTTATTAGTTTTAAACTGGGCACATGGTTAACCAGAAAAAAGAGAAAAGTTATGTTTCCCAGTATCCTTTGCAAGTAGGCACGACCATGTTACTGCTTTCTGGCTGATAGTGAGTGGAAGTAATTAATGTAATTTCCTTGAAGTGCCCTTAAATGGAAGTGACCTGCCCTAAATTCTCCCCCTTTCTGTTGTCCACATTGATTGTATCAGTTAGCTTTTGCTGTGTAACAAACACCCCCAAAATTTAGAGGCTTAAAACCATAAGCTTTTATGATTTCTCCGGTCAACAATTTGGGCAGGGCTCAGCTGAGCAGTTTTTTCATCTTGGCTGGGCTCCCTCATGCATCTGTGGGTTACCTAAGTGACTCTTCTTCTGGGAGGGGTGGCTGGCTTTCAGCTGGGATGATGGAATTTGTGAAGCCGTGAAGTACTCACTGCTCTGCAGGCTGGATTTTTCATGTGGTATCTAGGGAGGGTTCCAAGAGTGGAAGAGAACATGAGGCCAAGGGTTGGAACTTTGCACAAGGAGACTACCACTCCATGCTGCTGGTTAAAGCAAGTCACAGGGTCAGTCTAGATTCAAGGTTTGAGGGAACAGACTCCACTTCTTGACGGGAAAATCTGCTAAGGGACATTGCAAAGACGCATGGATACAGGAAGGCATGCAGGACTGGGGCCATTTTTGTAATCTGTGACAGCAGCCATGGTGGTGAGCCAAGTGGAAAGCTACTGTGTCCCCAAGGAGTCCCCATGCCAGCCGTGGGATGCTTACACAGAGGCTGTGAAAAGAGATATTTTACATTGTAGCTCATGGAACTGTTTTGTGTCCCTCTGCAGCAGCTGAATCTACACCTTAACTATTATGCTCCAACCTCTGGAATTTGTGTAAAGTGAGATAATAAATTTTTTTATTGTCAAAGCCAGTCAGAGTCAGGTTTTCTATTACTTGAAACCCAAAGCAGTCCTTACGAATGCATGCAATGAATACTCCTTTGCAGGGATAGATATCCTATTGTCTCCTGGACATAGCGAACCATTCTCTTGGTTCTAGGTAGAGGCAAAAAAAATCATCCAAACCAGAAGGTATCCCACTTCTTGCTCGTGATCCAAAGAAGCAGCTGTGGCCAGCTCTGATTTGTCCTGAGAACTCCACCTCTCAGAACCCCAGTTTTCCCAATCTCTGTAAAATAGGACTAAATACTTCCACATTGATGGATGAGGAGAGGATTAAGTAATATAATGACGGACTGTCAGAAAGGATAGAGGCACCTTAAAAAAAGAGCAAACTGGAAAAAGCGGTTTATTAAAACACAAAACTTGAAAGTGGTGTAGGTACATGATAAAAGGAAAATAATTCTCTCTCTCGTTCCAAGTCGTCCATTCTTATTTTTGTCTCACTAGAGACTGGTATCAGTTTCTCGTGTGTCCCTCCAGATATCCTACCCATGAATAAGCATTTTTAACACAAATAGAACATGCCACATACATTATCTTACATGGTGCGTGTTTTATTAAGAGTGTATCTTGGGGAGGGTTGCATATAAATACATAAGAGGTCTAGCACACACATGATTTTTCAGTGCTGATGGCTGAGTAATCCCTTATTGTGCCCACAGGAATTTCAACAATCCCCTATTGATGGGCATTTGGGTTGCTTTCAATATGATGTGATGATATTTTTGAAACTTTGAACGTTATCCAGTATAGCACACATTCTGTTTTCTTGTTTTTGTTTTTGTTTTGTCTTTGGTGGCTGGGTATAGTACGGGGGTCCGAACCCTTGACCTTGGTGTTAGGACACTACGCTCTAACCAACTGAGCTAACTGGCCAGTCCCTAGTATAACACATATTCTGAACAACATGAAAAACAGAACAGAGGGAATCCACGCCAATTTTCACTGTGTGAACATTCAAGCAACTGAGCCAGGTTGAGTAACAGAGCAGTGTCTCTGCCCCGGGGCTCCCCTCCCTCCTCCTCCCTTTTCCAACCACTCCTCCATCTCCTTCCATCCAGTATCTTATTGAAACACATTTTTTTTTGGCCCTTTCCCTTCTCAAATAGTTAATTTAAAACATTTCAAAGTTAAGGTTGGTTAAAAGAATAACATAATATACTTTTCAACTAAATGCATCAAATGTTAATATTTGCCATTCTCACATTTAGTCTCTCCTCCCCCCCCACATCTATGTAGCTCTTTTTTGTTCCAGTTCTCTCTCTCTCTCTCTCTCTCTCTCTCTCTCAACTATCTCTCCGCACACGTACCATAGTACAGCTGTCATGATGAGCAGACCAATAGGGATACATGAGGTCTGGGAGACCCAGGGAGGGAGCTCCTGCCATAGCTACAGTCCCTCAAGGGTCCCAGTGGTCAGAGGCACCTCCAGAAAATTTTGAGTCTTTTGAAAGTAGGTGCAAGTAGAACATCATAATATTTCATTATAAATTCTTTAGCCTGTGTCTCCTGAGAGCCAGGGCATTTTCCCTGCACGACCATAATTTTATTATCTCCTTCAAAAGCTTTAACATTGATATTATCTAGTAAACAGTCCATATGCATATTTCCTGTCTGAATAATAAACTTTAGAGCACTTTTTAAAAAAATCGGAATCCTGTAATGATATCCCCTCCCCACAGACACACACAAACTGACTACGCATTAGGTCACAAACACAGCGTAGGTTTGATTACCAAAAGTAGAAGTAATACATAAACCAATAGCAAAAGACAACAAAAAACGCTTCAGTTACCTTGGACATTACAAAATACCCTTGTGAGTAACTCGCCGGTTCAATGAATAACGAAAACTGAAGCTCCACTTTCTTTAGAAACACACACTACACATCAAACTTATGAAGTGCGGCCAAAGCTGCTGTACTTGGAGGAAAATCTCCATATATATATATATATGGCTGGCTAGCAGGGGGAGAAATCTCTAGCTCTAAATTTTAATTAAGTTTGTTAGAGTGCAGCCTTGTAACACCAAGGTCAAGGGTTCTGTTCCCAGTACCCATCACAGTCTAAAGGAAAAGTGACACACACACACACACACACACACACACACACACACACACGCACACACACACACACACACACACACTAAATCAGGGGGAAAAAGTGCAAAAGGAAATTAGAAAAAATCGTGGACAACAATAAGAAACTGATTCTTTGGAAAAAAAGTTACTCTTTTCCATGCATGTTCATCAACTCTCTTTCTCTCTCTCACACCCCCCCCCCCCACACAAAACCAACAATAATATCCTTTTACATTTGGGTTTGTGTAGTTTCGTGGATACTCCAAAAAGGCAGAACAGCACAAGGGCCGCTTATAGCTGCGGAACACCAGACAAGCTGCGGGACTTCCACGCTCCATGCCTCAGTTTCCACCCACTGTCAAGTGGGGACAGTCACGGTAGCTCCCTCAAAGGGCCACTGTGAGGGTGACCCGCGTCAATGTAGACAAGGCGCTTAATTCGGTGCCTGGCACCGGGGCGGTGCGACGTGCTTGCGGGATCGACGCTGTCGTCTGTTGCATGAAGCTCCTCCCAGGGGACTTCCCGGGTCACAGGGCGCGCTCGATGCTGCCACACCGCGCTCCGCAGGCTGCTTCCCACGGCTGCGCCCACGCAACCGCGAAGTCAGCCTCTTTGATCTTTGCCTTCTCGGAGGAGAAAAGCGGGATCCCGGGGAGGTTTTTAATTTGCATTGATTTTGTAATGAATGTGGTTAAGCATTCTCACAAGGAGACTCTGTGGTTTCTAGAGCCGGCTGCCGGACTCTCCTTTGGGAGGCTGCGGTCTTTGGTGGTGGAGAGCCGGGCACGGTGGGGAAGGTGGGTTTTGAGACGCAAGGACAGCACAGCTTCCCGGTGTGGCCCAGTGAGGGGACCTGGCCTTTCCTTGGGCAGTCTCGGTGAGAGAGTTGTGCAGGGTGCCTTAAGCCCTGGGTTTCTACTCTGCCAAATAAGGGCTAAAAATCCTTAACTAATAGAATTGCTATGGGAATAGAAGTAAGGGATTAACTCCTTCATTCATCAGACAATGACAGCTCACAGGTATTGATCGTGTCCTGAGCACCGGATTTATAAACACGTGAAGTCCCGAAAATCAATACCTCAGCCCCATTAGGGTGGCACGTTTGTGTCCCTTGTACAGATGAGGAAACTCGTGGCTCAGAGAGGTTAAGTCACTTACTGAAGATCACAAAGCAAGTAAGCGGTAGAGTCAGGATTTGGCTGCTCTGACTGCATCAATCCATTTAATTATGTTTATGGAGCACCTTCCAGGTGAACGGCACTGTTTTAGGCCCCGGAGAAAGGTGAAGGAGACAAAGATCCCTACCTTTAAGGGACAGATATTCTATGGGGAAGGGCTGACATTGCAGGGGGAGGTGCTGACATCCTAGGAGGAGACACTAACGTCGTAGTGGGAGGGGCTAAAAGTTTAGTGGGAGGGGCTCACATTCCATAGGCGGGGCTAACAGTCAAGGGAGGCTAACATTCCAGAAATAGGAGACTGACATTCTCTATCCTTCAAAGTCTGTAGCTACCACCTCCTCCCAAAACCTTGTCCCTACGGGTGTTGACTGAACACACAGTAGGTGCAAATCTGCCATCTCTAGGGAATCAAGCCTACGTGAAAAGAGTGGAGCCTCTGTTCTCCTGGAGCTTGCAATATAAGGAAAGACAGTCCTGAAGGGAATGATCTCACAGAAAGATACTCACCTCCCAGGCAGGAGGGAGGTAATTACACGCTGTTAATCACTACCTCTGTTTCTCTCAGGCAACAGGGAGGGGAGGCGGCGCCCCCAATCTGGCCTGGTTTGAGATGTTCCCAACCGTAGGAGA